GTTTAGAGGCTTCTGTCCTTTCCTTCTCTACTCGTCATCTACTTCTCAAAACCATTATCACCTCTCACTTCGACTGTGTCCAAGCTTTCTGCCTGGACCCCCTCCTTCCATTCCACTCCTTCCTCTCCATAAGTCATCTGCCCAGAGGAGGGCTGCTGAGGTCCGCTCAGACCGCCCCACCGCCCGTTAGGGATGACTTCCGTTACAGGCCAGAACTCCAGCTCTCCACACACCATATGGCCCTACCTCATCTTCTGAACCTCATCTCCCAGGCCTCGGCCACGCATATCCACCCACCAACCACAATGCACGTATTCAGCACTTTCAAACACATCTGCGCAGTCTAAGCTTGCCTTTGCTCTCCCACCACCCCCTCCACTTACTGAAATTCTCCATCTTCCAAGGTTCATGAAAGCTTCCCTGATCCCTCAACAACATGTTCCCCCGCCTGCCTGTGAACCTCACGCCAGTGTGTCCAGCCTCCCTTGTGGTCTTTATATATTCCCACCTGTGCCTGTCCTGCCTCCCTCGGTGGGCTGTAAGCTCCCGGAGGGCAAGCCTGGCTCCCTATCTTCACATCTGGCACAGCGCAGAGGACAGCATCTTCTATAGAGGGAAGAGCTGCTTAAATAATGACGACAGCCCCGCCGGCATGGCTCAGTGGTTGAGTGTCGACTTATGAACCAGGAGGTCACGATTTGATTCCCCGTCAGGGCACATGCTTGGGTTGCAGGCTCATTCCCCAGTAGGGGGTGTGCAGGAGGCAGCTGATCAATGATTCTCTCTCATCATTGATGTTTCTCTCTCTCTTTCCCTCCCTCCCTCCTTCTCCCTTCCACTCTGCTATCAATAAAAAATATTTTTTTAAAATAATAATGACAACATAATCCCTTAGTGATCAAATTTCTGTAACTTTCAATGGTCTCTTTAAATCCACTCATCACCTCAGAGTAACTCTTTATGTAGTTAGTATTGCAAACATATCACACTCTAGCACAAAGTTTGGCAGAGAAAAATGTGTTATATTTTCCGCTTATTCATAATGCTAAGCAATTAAGCTTAAAAATATAAAAGTGGACACAAAAAATAAAATTGTCCTTGTGATTAACTGCCACCAAACATTTTCCATTGAGGAAGATAAACAGTTAAATTTGGAAGACTAAAATGCTGGATTTTGAAACTCTGAAAAATTGATCCACTTAAATATTTTAAGTGTTTCTTTTTATTGATAAGAGTTTGATGCAATCAATGCTAGTCTCCTTATGGATAGGTGACGCAGACACTAAAAATTCTACTTTTCTCCTTTGTGGTGTTTTAAAACAGTCTTATTCCTGCATAATTTATAACGAGAATCAAGAAACACCGAGTCAGATCTTCCCAATGTCTATCATTACAACGTGGAGGCGGGGTGGAAAGTATAGTACGTTTTCTTCTAGTATTCTGTGTGGCAGAACTTTCCATAAGGGTGCCATTCAGTATGGCCCAAATAATTTTCTTTTTAAGGAAGTATTAACTGAGCTTTCTTTCCACCTCCTCTCTGAAGAAGCTAATATTAGTATCCAAATTCTATATACTGTGTGGGGCAAAGTTAGGTTTACAGTTGTTCATATGAAAAATAATACAATTAATAAGTATACAAGAATAAACATTGTGTTTCCCATATTCACAACTATAAACCTACTTTTGCCCCACCCTGTATAAAGACCCTAAAAAGCCCTGCCCCAGAAAATAGAACGAGGGAGCCCAGCTAGTGTGACTCCGTGGTTGGGTGTCAACCCATGTACCAAGAGGTCACAGTTTGATTCCCGGTCAGGGCACACGCTGGGGTTGCGGGCTCGATCCTCATTAGGGAGTGTGTAGGAGACAGCCAATAGATGTTTCTCTCTCATCAATGTTTCTATCTCTTCTCCCTTCCTCTCTCTCTAAAAATCAATAAAAATACATTTTTTAAAGAAAGAACAAGGGATAAGAGGATCTGGGAATCAATCTCAGATTTAACTCAAAGGAAATCTTAGTAACCATTCTTTAATTTAAGAACTCAATAATGAATGATGGCTTTGTAACAGGAATTATGTTAACAATGAAATGATTCCCCCCACATTTTTATTTGTTCTTTTGAAAATCAGTTTAAATATTAGATTATAGGTCTGATTTCATTTCCCATAGGTGTAGGTATTAGGTACTCTAAAGGAAGTCAATACGTGCAAGATAAACATGAATTAACTTTATATATTCTAACAGAACATTATTTCAATATTAGCAACATCATTTGAATCATTTTTAGCAGAACATTTTCACTTTATCAGCCCATTAAAATAGGATTCCTTTTCCACAGGAAAAGGTGCCTCTTGAGGTTCCAGTCTAGATACAATGAGGGAATCCAGGACAAGTGGAAGTAATGAAAGGAACCAGCTCTATGTCTGAATCAGGAGGTTTGGCCGCAGAAGTGACATCAGTCATCAGCATTAAGGCAGAAAGTAGGGTGAGAAAGCTGAGGACTTATCAGAGATACTGACAAGAAAATCAGAATAGAAACAGATGTTATAAGACTCCTCTTACTCTTTCTTTTAAGAGAAAATATCCTGAACCATGAAACTGAGCATCGAAAAGATGACAGGAAGCCACCCCGAGCAGCACAAGAAGACACCCAATAAAACAGAGCATAGATTCCATTCTGAAAAATAATTTTAAAATTTTGTGATGACTTTTATCACTTTTGAACCTGCCTGCCTAAGTGCATGTCCCCCCTAAAAGCAGGTCCTGAGATAAGGATTCAAGTCCAAGTTGTTTATTTGGGAGATTCAGAAAACACGGGACAGGGAATGTGGACATGGTGCTGGGGCGGTGAGGATGAATTGTCTGGCCCGTGAGCTGGGCGATCATCAGCCATGGTTAAGACTGCTTTGCGGGGGGGAGGCCAGGTGTTCATTCCTTGGCACTTGAACCTGTCTCAAGCAGGAGCCCAGCAGTGTCCCTGCCTACAAAGAAAACCTTCAGGCACATGATGTAGGTACTGGCAGATGGCCTCCACCAGGAAGACAGGAAGGACCCGAGGGAGGATGGGGCCCCAACAGCATAGTCTACACTGCATCCCCCAGAAGAAGGCTGTTCCCATCAACAATAGTTTCCGCTGTTGGTATTTGGTATCAATCTTCTCTCTCTTTTCTCTACTATACAGTACAGCATATATTTCAGGTCATCTATGCCTAAGCTATCAAACATACAGTTTTAGCTTACCTACGTCTTTAGTTCTCCCCTTGAACCTACTTTACACACTCCGTAAGTTAAGATTCTGAGTCTATTCCTGTATGGTAAATTCTTTAACATCAACCTTGATCTCAACTAATTTTTTTTAAAATCACTCTTTTGGTAGCAACCATAATAGTCCATAACAACATACATGGAAAATGATGGGCTGGTCCACGGGGTAAGAGCTCAGGCATCCAGAGAATTCTTTATGTTTTGAGAGTAGAAGTCATTTTGGCAGCCCCAAAACATACATTGTCGGAAAAGGATGATGGGGGTGGGGAGGCCAATCTACAACCTCACAGGAAAGAAGCATGTCCAGTGAAATGTCACCTGGCTTGCTTTGAACAAATGCGGGCATTGAAAATAATCCGATCTAAACGTTATTGTTCTTAGGCTGCAGGAATAGTTCCATAAAATATGAGCAACTTTTTCTAGGCCCAGCAGGTATCTCTTTGCTTTCCTGTGTACGTGGTCAACGTGAGGTGATAATGTGCCTAGGTCAGTGGTCGGCAAACTCATTAGTCAACAGAGCCAAATATCAACAGTACAACGATTGAAATTTCTTTTGAGAGCCAAATTTTTTAAACTTAAACTATATAGGTAGGTACATTGTTATTAACTTAATTAGGGTACTCCTAAGCTGGCCTTTGCTAAAAACGTCCTCAATCTGATTGAGGTACGTTCACTGAGGTCAGGAAATAGCAGAAGCTAATGGGAGTGCAGCACTGTAGGTTTTCTGGATTAAAGGGATTTCTTGCCACTCACCAGATATACTGACGGCTGGACAAAGACGGGCTGGTTGAGATTCAGCTAAATAGGTCAGGTGTGAGATTGCCTAATCTAGCTATAATGAGTCATTATTTTTAAGAGAAATAAAAATGAAAAAACAAACCAGCACACATCACTGAAACGTTCTGGATGTTTTTGCGCTGGGTTGGGAGGCCCACCCCTAGTTGCCTTCTCTCTGTCCACTTACAAGCACTTGGCTGAGCCACTGTTGAATGAGATCCCTGTCCAGGGCTAGGTTTTACGTTTATAGAAGGATCAGGCCAAAATACCAAACCCACCATTCCCCTGACACAAACCATCCATTATATAATGCAATAAGTATTTTTAAAAATCAGATATCTCTAAATATAGTAAATGATATATAGAACTGTATCTTTGGATATAAATCAGTGCTAAATCAATGTTTCTCAATCTGTGCGGAACAATCATTTTATTATTATTATTTCCAGTCTATCATGTACTGATATTTTTTGCAAAATCCATTAAAAAATGAAGAAAATAAATGTTTAGCCCAACTGGCATGGCTCAGTGGTTGAACGTTGACCTATGAACAAGAGATCACGGATCGATTCCAGCTCAGGGCACATGCCCAGGTTGCAGGCTCAACCCCCAGTGTAGGGCATGCAGGAGGCAGCCAATCAATGATTCTCTCTCATCATTGATGTTTCTATCTCTTTCTCCCTCTCCCTTCCAATCTGAATTCAATATTTTTTAAAAGAAAAGAAATTGTTAAAAATATATACAAAATATAAGCCCAATTTTTTATTATCTCTGTTATATTCAACAGGCATAAAATGACTCTGTCAAATTTCTTTAAAAGTTTCCCAATGCTTACTCTCAATTTCGGCACTGATCTCATCTCAGACCAGTAACAGCTGTGGGCAGCACTGGCCTGGGACCACAGTCTGAGTCACACTGATTGGAATAAATATGTGCCCGGTACTTCCAAAGACATACTTTACCTCTGATATTCTTTCCAAATCCCATAGGAGAAACTTTTTTGTCCACGTGCTCATGATTGTTTGATTTCTCCTTCATAATGTCGTCATCGCTAACAGCAGGAACAGAACATTTTTTCTTTTTCTTCTTGTGTCGAGGCGGAAGCTTTTTTGGAAAAGTAAACATTGGGAATATCACAAGAAGCATTGCAACGGCACAAAGGAGGAATCCACTCCACCTAAAAAATTGGGAAATGTGAATAGCATTTATGGCTTTTGCATTGTGAGTGAGAACAAATTAGCAAAGTAGAAGTTTGTGGTGATAAAATTCTCCAGGAAAAAAACCTTTGACCTTCATCAATTGTTAAACAGTAGGGGGTTGAACAAACTAAGAAAATATAGGAATCCTCCCTTTCTGTGGGGTAAATGAGAAATCCACCCAATAATTATATGCATGATAAACATTATAATAAGCAACCTAGAATTCAAGTATTTTTAAGCACATATGTGTTAGTTCTGCTACAATGTATATTTTATAATAAACCAATAACTCAAATTTAATAGAAAAATAGTACAGATTCTATAGCATGCTTTGTGGACACTTTTTTCTTAGAAGAAAAGCATTACTATCTCATGTAGAATGTATTGCTGATTGGCACTCAAATATTTTTCTGCAAACACTTAATATATTGAACAATATTAATGTACTGATATTAAGCTGGTCTTCTCCATACTTAGCCACCAATGACATTTCATTTGATCCTTACTTCAAGAACTACAACCTAGTTACAAGTGAGCTAAATATATACCTCCAAGAAATGCAAGAATGTATATAATTAAGTGTTAGATCAGGTGGAATAGAGCATGAATCCTATAAAAGTTCAGAGAGAGGAAATGTGTGTCCGAAAGTTACTTAGGGGATGTAGAATTGAGTGTTGTAGAACCGAGACTGTCTTTGAACTCATCTGAGGTTGCCATGCTGCAGAAACTAGGAAGCATATACAGAGTAGAAGTCAACTTCGAGCCCTGCAGTAGAGTTCCGTGTTTATGGTCTTAGGCTTCTTGCTTGCATAATACTCCAGGGGCAATCCCTCAGTCCCCTTTCGACCTTTTCTTAGCAAATAGCCCCTGGTCCTACCCAACAGAGCAGCTCTTTCCCACTAGGATTCCTCAACTCTGAACTGTGTCCTTAAGGCTTCCAAGTTCAAGAATGCTCAAACTCCATCCTCTGCAGCAACACCCTATCGGTTGTAACCAGAATGCAAGCAGCATTCTAAGCATGAGTGTTGGATGCAACCCAGTGAGAATATAGATCAATTGCAAAGTGAAAATTCATTTATAAAAGCAGTGTCTCAATCACAGTGCTGTTAGTTGCTAAAGGTCGTAGGTTAGCTGAGAGAATCATTCCTAGAACAGGTCATTAATAATCCAGTGTGCTATTTTAAAATATATTTAAAGTCACATCAAGTAAAGATTTTAGGACAATCAGCAAGTGGCTTTATTTTCAGAAGATTGCTCAGGACAGACTTGTCACAATCTCAGTTATTCAGAATATAATCATGACCCCAGTGCCTGACACAGATTTGGGTACTGAAAATATGTCTTGAATAAATACATTGAATGGAATAGGTTTTTTTAAAAATAAAGTCATTTGTCTGTAGGGAACATAGCTACTATAATATCTAGCCCTTTTAGTAGTTGGCTGCTCACGAGGCCTTCACTAACCTGGCCCTGCTCATCAACCTTTCTTGAAACTCTTTCTGCAAACGTGACATTCAGTCTCCCCAACCTTCAGTTCCCTAGACCTCTCGTGCTCTCTCCACAAGAGGGCAGGCAGCGTAGCAAAGGGACAGTTCTTGAGCTGTGGTTTCAGACAGACCTGGGTTTTTATCCGGTCTTTACCGCTCACTAGCTCTAAGATCCTAGGGAACTTAATTTTGCTTTTCTGAACCCACTTTCTCATCTGAAAGAGGAGTAATAAGAACTGTTTTGGAGTGGGGACTCTTTCCCCCTCCCCACGTGGGAGTCTGTACTTGTTCTTCAATAAATTTCCACCTTAAAAAAATAATAATAAAATAAAAAATAAATTTCCACCTTTGCTATACAAAAAAATAAATAAATAAACTCTTTTGGATTCATCAAAATCAATAAGCCAACATACAAAATGAACCTAACAAAATGCCTGCCCCGTCAGCAATCAATTTAGAGTAGCTCATTTTGTTTGTTTGCATGTAGATCTGCACGCAGGCTCCCACACCCCCAGCCAGAGCCACTGCCTTAAAATTATACGCAAACATTAAAGATGCACTCATAGTAGTCCAGAGTGAGAGTAAATATAGAAGAAGGGGAAGAATTATAGTGAATAAACAGTATAAATGTTTGGGGACATTCCTAAGCAGAGCAAAGCAGCCTACATTCCTCATGATCCACAGTAACAAATCATCGTTAGCACATGACATAATGGTGGTGCTAAAGAGAACCCTGAGAAAAGGCGGCTAAGACAAGAGAGTGCGCATCATGTGTTGGGAAAACAAACATAAGAAAGAGTCAAAATTGAAAAGCCAGGGTTCTTCAGTCTTTTTTATGAATCATTACTCAGAGCAGACTGTTCACTAAAAGGGTCAGTGAAGTATATTGACTAAGACCTCCACCCTGACTCAGTTTATCCCAGCTCTCACCGACTCTGAGGTTTGGGGGAAGTTATTCAAATCACTGAGCATCAGTTTTCCTTGTGGTTGTTATAAGGCTTAAATGAAAAGTGTGTAAAGCTCTTAGTATAATGCTTGACACAGAGAAAGCGCCTAATAAATGTTAGCATTATTCATTTATTCATTCCTTCACTCTTTCAGCATTTATTTATTGAAAAATATATCATTGTGCTAGGCATGGGATAAAATAACATTGTGTCAAATAACTATGTCTTTGCTCAAGATGGAAGTCTTACAAACAGGGCTACTCAATAAACAAAATTCATTTTTAAATTTCTATATTGAGGAATTTTATCATTTGTAGAACTAATAATGGGCCATTCAAATGAATAAAACTACTTGAACATTGATGAAATACAAAGGAATGAATAATAACTAAAACATCATATAGCAAGAACTATTTAGAGCTCTACATACATAGACTCATTCATGCCTCACAACAACCCGGTGAAGTAGGTACTGTAACTATTTCCCATTTTATGGGCTTAAAAAACAATAGCAACAACTGAGACACAGAGAAGTTGAGTAACCTCCCCAAGGTCACACAGCTATTCAGCACCCAGGGGACTGTGGGTTTAAAGTATGGGTTCACTCTTAATCACTCCACTTTGCAAACAACGGGGTTGATGTCTACTAGGAAACTTTCTAAAGACAGCATAAAGCACTGGAAAGCTGAAAGTTCCTGCCGCCTTCTTTCTCTCAGCCCTCTCGTTCATCCTCTCTCACCACCAGATGTCCCCTACTGTTCTTCATATGAACATCTACACAGAACACAGATCATACATTGCATGTTGATAAAAAAAATGGTTTAATAATCTAGTTTTCTGAGAACAAAACAAAAAGGCTCTTATTCTGATTTATTTCAAAACTGCAAACAAAACAGTGGTTGAGACCAAAACTTTCACTATCAGTCAAGCACTGAAAACTCCTGTGTTATTCCCCTCATGCTGACAAGGGAACTTCCTTTGGTATAATTTCAAAATTCTACCAAGCCAGGCTCATCTAGACCTTAGCACTTCCATCTTCAGAGAGCATTACTTATGAAAATAAGAAGTGTTCTGTAACCTAATTAATAGTTTTAACTGCTTTGAAAATAAATAGTGTGAAGCATTATTCCCACATACCTCAGAGTTATGAGGTTATTATCTTGTAATGAAGCACAGAGCACAGTTCTCTAAGAAATTCTTTAGAAACTAATTACTCGACACTCATGTCTGATACTGCAGTATTCTCCTTGGTATAAAATGAACATTTCTCATCAGCGATCACCTATTACTAATGCATGTCAAATGAATCTAGGACAATACTTTTTGGTGCTTACAATCATGAAAAAAGAACTCACGTCAAAGTGGAGGGCTGTGAAGGACTTGAACAAATCCCTGGCTATCTGAATAAATAAGTGGAGTCCTTATTCTCTAAGTCCTCAACATGACTTACTTGACAAGACAGCTAAGGGTTTGCAAGTGAGCGAGTAACTAACTCTCCAGCACCCATGGGGACAAACTACTCCCAAGTGAAAGGATTCACTGCATGTGACGATGGGAAAGTAGAGCTAGATTTCTGGGCAGTGAGGAGAGGGTTGACAAAGCACAAACACAATATAATAAGAAAGTGGGGAGGGGCGACCTTAAAGGCACAGAAAAGATCATGAAAGCTTTGATTCAAGGACACAGGAAAGTCCCAGCACAGCCATTTCACCCTTTTCCTCCATTCTGCTATTAAGGAACCAACAGTCTCTATCCTGAAAAATGGGGATTAAGCTGTTATTCCCAAACCGTCTGTATCAGTTTCCTATTGCTGCTATAACAAATTACACAAATGTATTATCTTATAGTCCGGGAGGTCAGACGTCTAAAATGGGTGGGCAAGGCTGTGTTCCTCCAGGAGGCTCTCGGAAGCACCTACCTCTTTGCCTGTCCAGCTTCCAGAGCCCACCTTCACTCCGTGGCCTGTGGTCCCTTCCTCCCTCTTCAAAGCACATGACGCCAGCCTCTGCCTCAGTCACCATGTCACCTCTTCTTACTCAGACCTCCCTGCCTCCTTCTCTTCCTTATAAAGACCCTTGTGATTATATTGGGTCCACCAGGATCATCCAGGATATTCCCCCATCTCAAGATCCTTAACTTAACCACACCTACAAAGTCCCCTTTGCCAGGAAAAGGTGACACATTCCTAAATTCCGGGGGTTGGACATAGATAACTTTGAGGGATTATTATTTTGCCTACTACCCCCTCCTCAGTGACTTTTGGTTGTTTTTCATATTCCCCCTGGGGAAGTTTTTATGTTAACTACAAGGGTACTGTGACTCTATCGTTAATCATAAGTGAAATGAAAAATTTAGTAAACAGTTCTTACCAGTTTCCAATGAAACGAGGGTCATTCTGGTCAAGTTGAACAGGATTTCTGGGATCAACATAAAAACCAATAAGAAGTCCACCTAATAAGTATCCCACTGCAGGACCAAGAGCTCCCATGACATACATGATGGCTGAGAAGACAGAAGGGGAAATGTGAAATGCAGCGGCATGTCCTGACGCTCCAGTCGTCTAATTTCAGTCAGACCGTGCAGAAGTCGCAGTTCAACCCAGCTAACAACTTCCAAACAGAGAGTGAAAAGATTCGCTCTTTAGAGAACTTTAGAGATTGTGTCTATGTTGACATTTGGGTTTCAAATCATGTCCTTTATTTAACTGTTGCCTGTTGTACGCTTAGAGCATGCAAATCATTTGAAGAACTTTTCGGTTGATTTTGTTTTATTTTTTAATATAAGTGCTCAGGACATACCCCACACCCACACAGTTTTCATTTCTGAAAGTACAGACATGGGCCTCTTAGAGCATGCAAATCACTTGAAGAACTTTTTGGTTGATTTTATTTTTTAATATAAGTGCTCAGGACATACCCAGACCCACACAGTTTTCATTTCTGAAAGTACAGACATGGGTGGTTCGTGAAGTGGTCATTGAATAACCAAGAGAATATAATAGGTAGTCTCAACAGTATGGAAAGGGGGGAAAAGTAGATGTCTCTTGTCACAGCTACAAGATTCTAACAGGTTAAGGGAATTCAAGGCCAGATTTTACTAGAAGCTGGGTTCAGTTGGATTGGCAAACCTTCTGAATCACCCTCAAATCACTCATATTTTCAAATCACCACTTTAGAATCAAAGATCTCACAATGAGTTTGGTTTACTGTTAACTGAGGAATCTTACTTAGAGGTTACTAAATCTCCTTAAATGGCCTGAGTTAGAACCCAAGCGGAAAGCACCAACCCACAGCTGAATTAGAAAATAATTTTTAAAGCACATGTCCAAATGGGCAGGGGCTGGGGTCTTACTGTCGGTAGATCAGAAAGGTTGTCATTCTATTCAAAAAATTTCACCATTAGCCTTGCCAGCGTGGCTCAGTGGTTGAGTGTTGACCTATGAACTGGAAGGTCACGGTTCAATTCCTGGTCAGGACACATGCCCGGATTGCGGGCTCGATCTCCCGTGTGGAGCATGCAGGAGGCAGCCAATCAATGATTCTCTCTCATCATTGATGTTTCTATCTCTCTCTCCCTTCCTCTCTGAGATCAATAAAAATATATTTTTAAAAATTTTCACCATCAATATGGGCTTATAGCAAAAAGTAACAAGTCCGTTGTCCATTCTTTATATTGTTTTCATGCTGTGATTTAAAAATTTTAAGTAAATAATATTTCCCCAACTTTTAAATTTTGAGGGGGAGTATGAAATTCCTTAAAAGTCATAGAGAAATCTAGCCACACTCCAAACCCAGTGTTTGTCCTGACGAAACCCAGTTACTCGGGGTCGAATCAATCTCACTTTTCAGGAATGATAAACTCAGGTGCTACATGCTTCTCACTTCTAGCGCCATCATGCATTTTAATCGCTGAAGAAATGAGTGGTTTGCCATATCCTTTCAACAAAACTGCATTCACCAAAAGCAAACTGGAATAATCAGAATAGCTGCACCTGAATAAACATTGAATAATCCTGTCCCTGCTGTTACTTAGAGCTACAGACAGCACCTTAGCACCTGCTCTCGCTTTTCACACAATGCAGCAGAGAGCGCGCAGTGTTTGTTTATTTTACAGAACCGCCTGCTTGTAGCAATGAGACGTCAGGTTCTTGCACTTCTCCATCTGTGCGTGGAAATGCGGCCTGGAGGAGGCACACCTCAAGAGGCCAGCATTCTTTCGGAAGCCTGCTTTTCATCAAGTAAAACTCGTTTCGATAAATATCATGTTAGCCTCCCTGTCTGCAGCCTAAAACGGAACTCAAGAATAGAAAGGCCTTTTCCACACCCAGGTATTCCCGTATGCATGTGAAGATAAAATGTATGTTTACACCTCCAGGCAAACCAGCACCATGTACAACTTAAAACTGTAATGAGGCCAAAATGTGACATGAATCATCTTCCCAAAATAGTGCCTCTGGCACGAAAGAGACTTCTTACAGACCCAGGTGAGTAGGGGGCACTTCTGCCAAACGGTTTGTGCCTGGGGCACTGGGCGCAGGTCTCCCAGCGCCAGGATGCCTGTGTGGCTGTGCTGGTGAGACCCGTAGTCACCCACTGACGGGGAACCTGTGACACCTTAACTACGTCATGAGGCATGGGTGGAGCTTTTAAAAATTCAGCTGTGTCATCAGAAAAACATCTTCAGCCCTGACCGGTTTGGCTCAGTGGGTAGAGCGTCAGCCTATGGACTGAAGGGTCCCAGGTTAGATTCTGGTCAAGGGCATGTACCTTGGTTGCGGGCACATCCCCAGTAGGAGGTGTGCAGGAGGCAGCTGATTGATGTTTCTCTCTCATCAATATTTCTAGCTCTCTATCTCTGTCCCTTCCTCTCTGTAAAAAATCAATAAAATATATTTAAAAAAAGAAAAGAAAAACATCTTCATTATAAGCCCAACAATATCATTCTCATTAACAGAAATAAATATATACATGTATGTATACCTATAGAACTTGACTATATATAAATATATGTGTGTTATATATGTGTTATATTCATATATGTATAGCTATATAACTATACTATATGCTACCATATATACTGTACATACTATATACAGCATATAGTATAGTAACTATACTATATGTTACTATGTTTGTTATATGTGTATTTTATACATATATGTATATTATATGTATATGTGTATATATACACATGGCACCCCACCCCTCACCCCCTTGCTCTTTGTCACCCTACCCTGCTAGAGTTGGCACTATGGCACACAACACCATCCCACATGACATTTGTTTATTTGCTTATTGTCTGTCTCTCCCACTGGAATGTCATTTCCATGAGAACAGGGACTTTTTTTCCACTGGTGCCATGTCCATGCCTAAGCAGTGCTGACCATAAGCACTAATAAATATTGATGCATAGAGAAGGAATGAAGACATGGACTTCAATCTCGGGTGAAGTAACAAAAGCCGTCGAAGTGGATTCGTCCTTGCAACAGTGCCTCAAAGAGCCATCATGGGCGCCTGCCCCCTAGACCCCTGGGCTGCCCTGTCCCTGTGAGCCACCTTCCTCCTCCTGCCCCATGAAGTCCTCGGTTTGGCAGAGTTGGTTTCTGTGCTTTAGCCACAGAGCCTGAACTCCTACCCAGCCCACTCCAGGCCTGGCTATTACTGCCAGGCTGTCCCTGGGCCACCACCCTCCCCAGTGGGTTTCCAGAGTTCTCAGAGCCTCTTTGGAACTGGCCCAGGTTTGCGGGACCCTCATTTGAACTTGGTCTCTAATTTATCGGACTCTGTTTCCATGCTGCGCCCCACCTCCCACTCTTCCCTGCTCGCTGCCCGCTTCCTCCCGGACCTCCTGGCTCAGACCCACACGGCACAGAGTGCTGCTGGGAACTGATGCTGACAGGGGTGGGGGTTACGCGAAAAAGTTGGGCTCGGGCTCAGGACCTGGGATTGCACCCAGGACGGGTGTGCCGAGCGACGTGTCACATGCTTGCCTAAGGTCCTCAAATGACCATTCAACCCAGGCTGGGCTGCAGTGAGAGTAGGTCGCTCTCCTGAATATGTTTGGTGTCACGGTCACTGCAGATGAAAAGAGGACACGCAAAGCCGCCCACATGCCGCTGGGAAAGTACAGCAGCGGGGACGCCAGCTCCCACTCAGCTTGCATAATTCCTTGAAAATTAGCCAAGGTGCTTGAGAGCATCACATTTAGAGAACTCTTCCCTCGCTCATTCTTTCCACTCACGAGCACAGACAGAGAGGACACCTTTGATCTCAGTTATTTTGAGCAGCCATTTTTTTTCTTTTAAGTGATTCAGTCATTTTGACACAGACCTGACAGCCGAAGGACAGCTGCCTGCGCTCTATCACGTTGCTAAAACATCCAGAGAGCATCTGAGGTTCCAGATGAGACGGGAAATGATTCTTTAGGTTCAAAGTATGTTCTCCTCACTACCATAGTGAGCAATAGTTGGTTTAAACTCACTCTCTTCCTCTAGAAATATTTTCAAAGTAATTTGTACTCTAAAAGGGAACAACCAAGTACATATATAAGCAGCCGGTTGCACTTTATTCCTATCTGGGGCATGGGAGAGGGGAGGGCTTAATGAGCTGTGCCTTTAAGACATCACATTTGATCACCTGTGAGTGATTGTTGTCTATAAACTTAATCCGGTCCTCAAGAAGAACCACAAAGACAGCTATCATGAAAGCATAAAAATATATATATATGTCAAATTTTTAAAAATTACATTTTGGGGCAATATGTTTTAGTAACATTAAGTATGGATTCCCAATGCAAGAAATAATCAAAACATTAATGAATCCATGAGAAAATAACTTCACTAGTTATCAAAAAAATAGAAGCTACAAACAATGAAATACAACTCTAACCAAATAAATTAGCACCAGAGTTATAAATTTGGTACAAGCTTTTGGGCAGCAGCTCACCATATATATCATGATGACATTTCTCACTGCATTATGTATATAGGAAAGTAGAAACAATATTAATAATATTTTGAGGCATAATGCAAGTATTAATTTTAATGTTTAAGAAGAGTTTTTATGCCTTCAGGAAATACTCATGTTTATTTTTACTTTTTAAAATATACTTTTATTGATTTCAGAGAGAAAGGGAAAGGGAGAAACAGAAACATCCATGATGAGAGAGAATCACTGATTGGCTACTTCCAGCATGCCCCCCACTGGGGATCGAGCCCACAACTCAGGCACATGCCCTTGACTGGAATCAAACCTGGGACCCTTCAATCTACAAGCTGACAGCTCTATCCACTGAGCCAAACCAGCTAGAGCAGAAATACTCATTTTAAAAATTTAAGTCCATTTTTCCATTATTGGCAATTTCTCAAAGATTCGACTTATCTATATATATAAAAGCCTAATATGCAAATTGTCCCCTTGGGAGTTCCACCAGAAGACCGGGAGTTCGATTGCTCGCTATGATGTGCACTGACCACCAGGGGGCAGCACAGAATGAAGGAAGGC